ATAGAGCTTTACTCCTAAGAGCCCACAACTGGAAACTACCCAATGTCCATCAGTGGTAGGATGGGCAGATAAATGGTGACACATTTGTACTTTGGAATACTACACAATTTAAAAAGAATGAGCTACAGCTATATTCAACAAGATGTATCAATCTCATGAACAATATTGGACAAAAGAAACTGGACACAAAAGAATACATCTTTTGTATACTGCAGGCTATTTATATGAAGTTCAAGAACAGACAAAACTAATTGTGACATAGGTCAGAATAATGGTTACCCTGGTGGCGAGGGAGTCACAAAGGGGACATCAGGGGTGCTGGAAATGTTCTGTATCTTGATCTGGGTGGTAGTCACATTGGGGTATACGTAAGTGAAAATTCATCAGGTTGTTTAAAAACATTCAGTTACTAAGGCCTGGCAAGCCCTTGTTCTGAGCAGGCTCCGTGCTGGGCCCCCAGCCCCTGCCATGGCAAATCTCATTCTGCCCTGTCTTGGACAGCTGCCATTCTGGGTCACGTCTGTAAACACAGAGAAAATGACCTGTGATGGTCGTATTAGTTTGCTAGGTACCACAAATGGAGTGGCTGAAACCACAGAAATTTATTGTCTCACAGTTCTGGAGGCTGGAAGTCCGAGATTAAGGTACCAGCAGGATCATGCTCCCTCTGAAGGCACTAGGAAGGATCCATTCCAGGCTTCCCACCTCACTTCCAGTAGCTCCTTGGCTTGTGGCAGCATAAGTCCGATGTCCACATGATGTTCTCCATATGTGCATGTCTGTGTCCAAATTTCCCCTCTCTATAAGAACACCAATCATATTGAAGTAGGGCCCCATCCTACTCCATGATGACCTTAACTAATCACATTTGCAATGACTCTATTTCCAGAGTTAGGATTAGGTGCCGGGGATTGGGACTTCAACATATGAATTTTGCAAGGGACACAATTCAATCCATTGCAGTTGTGTTATAAGCTATACTTCTCCTTGCAAGACAACACTGGCAGCTGGTACTGGGGAATATGAATTCTCTGGCCCTGTTGGTGGCAGAGGAAGAGGCTTCTCCTTGTGAGTGGAAGGATGGACCAGAGACACGACTTGTGAAGTGGTAAAGTGCAGGACTTAGGTTCAAACCCATCCTCATTTATATAATGACAATAACAGCTACCATCGGTTGAGCATTGATTGAGCAGGCACCATGCTCAGCATTTTGCATATACCATGTTAGCCATAAGCCTCTCAACTTCACAACTGTAAAATACACACCATTTCCAGTTTATGGATGAGGAAACTGAGCCTTGTAGCTGCCCAAAGAAACACGACAAAGAAGTGGCAAAGTCAAGATTTAAACCCAGGGCCGGCTGGGCTTGGTGGCTCATGCCTGTAATCCCAGCACTTTGGGAGGCCAAGGAGGGAGGACCATTTCAGGCCAGGAGTTAAAGACGAGCCTGGGCAACATAGTGAGACCCCCATCTCTACAAAACAAACAAACAAAAAACCCCCACCAAAACCAAGGCTGACCCATGGCCTTTTCCCACCACACTCTGAGCCCCTTTTCTGAGCCTGTTTCCTGTCTCTAAAATTGCACTAGAACAGAGTTGTTAGGGTTAAACAAGATACCTCACCATCTGACACATGGTGTGTGCAGGCTGACGACTTAGTTTTTCTCTTCCCTGCACCTATGCCCACAATGGGTGTCACGTGGGTGGAGCCTTTCCACCCTCTTCAGACCAAAGCAACCAACGCCCCCTGCTCTGAGCCCCTGTAGCTCCATTACAGCAGCTGTGTGAACACGTGCCTGCCTCTCTACCACTGCCACTCGAATGAGTTTTCCAGGGAGGTTGTGATTCATCTGGGTTCCCAGACCAGGGGAAAGGCCAGCAGTGTAGAAGCGCCCATTAAATGTGAAATGATGGCACTGGTGAACGGATCGACATAGAGACTGGGGGAAGAATGCAAGAAAGGAAGGGCAGACAGATGGGTGGAAGAAAGATATGTGGATGAATTGGAGGGATGGAAGGTTGGATAGATAGGAGGAAGGGTGGACAGATGGATGAATGGGTGGAAGGATGGCCTGACGAACAGGTGGCGTGATGAATGAGTGGAAGTTTGAATGCCAGAGGGAAAGACAGATGGAATGACGGATGGATGGATGGATGGACACAAAGAGTAAACAATAGGTGGAAGGATGGATGGATGGATAAAGAGACGGATGGAAGATGAAGTGGGATGATGGATAAATGAAAGGGCAGAGGGGGAAGCAAGACAGGCTGAACAAAAAGGACCGTGGGAGAATGGAGGAGGGTGTGGGGAAAGAAACATTGCTTGGGATTTTAGGACGACCGTGCTGGCAGGACAGAGGCCGGCACGCAGGGTCTTTGCGTACTTTCTCCTCCAGAAGCACGGCCCATTTTGCCCCATCCCTACCCGACAGGCCCTTGAGAGCCTTCGGATCTCCGCCTGAAAGAAAGTAGCGCTCCCGCGCTGGGAGCGGGCGAGACCCAGGAGAAAGTGCGGGAGTGGGCGGGGCGGTCCTGGGCCCCGCCCCGCCTTGCTCAGCCCCGCCCCGCCCGGCTCAGCCCCGGCAAGGCGTGAGCCCCGCAGCGCGGCGCAGGTGCCGGCATAGCTGCGGGAGCCCAGGCCAGGTGAGCGCAGCCGGGGCGCGGGCTGGGGACGCGGGTGTGAGCGGGAGAGGAAGAGCGAGGGGGCCACCTGGGGTAGGGGCTTACCCTCGAGTTCCGCCGGGGCAGCCTCCTCCTGTCCCTGCGAGGCCGACGCGCCCGGGTATCGTCCGTGACTGGGTCCCCACAGACCTGGATTCGGCGGAGCCATTTTCAGTGACTCCATCAAAGTTCCCTAATGTCCTCTGAGCCTCAGTTTCCACCTCTGCTTCACTGGGCTGCCAGCACTGTTCTGGGCGCTGGAGACACTATCGTGAACAAAACCCTGCTGGAGCTTGCATCCTAGGTTTGCAAAGCTCTTGGGCATCTGTCCTCCCATGACCACCCTGTGAGGAAGAGGAGCAGCCAGGGTTTTTTAGGTCCATTTTTTTTTTTTTTTGAGACAGAGTCTCACTGTGTTGCCCGGGCTAGAGTGCCGTGGCATCAGCCTGGCTCACAGCAACCTCCAACTCCTGGGCTCAAGCCATCCTTCTGCCTCAGCCTCCCAAGTAGCTGGGACTACAGGCATGCGCCACCTTGCCCAGCTAATTTTTTCTATATATTTTTAGTTGTCCAATTAATTTCTTTCTGTTTTTAGTAGAGACGGGGTCTCGCTCTTGCTCAGGCTGGTCTTGAACTCCTGAACTCAAACAATCCGCCCGCCTCGGCCTCCCAGAGTGCTAGGATTACAGGCGTTAGCCACCGTGCCCGGCCTTTTAGGTCCATTTTATAGCTGAGGTGCAGTGAAGTTTTAAGGATCTTGCCCAAGGGCACACCCCAGCAAAGGGTGCCTGAGGCCAGCTCCCAGCCCTTGCCACAAAAGTCATCTCCTTTGGGTAGAAAGAGCTCTGGTCCCACAGACCCTTCCCCAGAAGAGTCCTTTGGGTCTGGGTAGAGGAGGGCTCCACTCTGGGGCTGCGTCCTCTCCTGCCTCTGGGGGAATTAGGCCCATCCTCTGTGATGACTCTGATTTGGGGTGTCCTTCTATTAAACCCATGAACGTCAGTGCTTGTGTAGGGCATGACTGTATCCCTCACCCAGACCTTTGGCCGCAGGGCAGTGACAGAGGAGACTAAAATTTAGATTCAGCCCCAATGGCTGTCAGAGTCTCTGCCCTGTGACCACAACCAGCAACCACCATGGGTTTATCAGTCAATCAGTAACTCAACAAACACCTGTTCTGTCATGCAGCCAATGTGTGCAGAAACTCACCTATCTGCATCTGTAGGGCCTGGCGCAGAGCAAGCCCCTAGAACACAGTTGCTATTGTGATGATGATGATGATGATGATGATGATGATGATGACCTGGCCCCAGGTCCAGCCTCATTCAGTCTCAGGTGGAGTGGGAGGTGGGAGGCGATGGTGGTGACAGTGACCGATAGCCTGGCTCACTTTAAGTCTAGAGCAAGGAGGACAGGATCCTCGGTGCTGTCCCCCTAAGCCCATAGACCTGACCCTGAAGCCTGCAGGGGGCTGGGGCAGACCCTGTGGTGCCAGCCACCTGCTCTCCTGAGGGGCCTGAAAGAACCAGAGGTCAGCAGATGTCGGGGCAGGTGCAGGCGTAGCACTTGAAATCATGTACAAGTTTCCAGGGTGTAGAGCCCTTACAGATCCCACACAGATTCCTGTCCTCTTTCTCCCCCTCCTCCTCCTCCTCCTCCTCCTCTTCTTCCTCTTCCTTCTCTCCTCTTCTTCCTTCTCCTCCTCCTCCAGAAAGCACCCCCACCCACGTCCCCAGTTAGAAAACAGTCACTTCCCAGTCTGGTGAGGTTCCCTCTGGCATGATGTGATCTGTCTTCCTCTGGTGCTACTGGGATTTTAAGGAAGTGGTAAAGTCAGGAATGCTTGGTATAAACCTCAGTCATAAAGTGTGACTTTGGACCTCAGTTTCCCCAGCTCTAAAGTCCAAGGCTTGGCTGCCTTGTCTCCAACCCTCTACAGGAGGCTGCAGCCGCCATGGAAGTTCTCGAGATGCTGAAAGGGACAGGTTCACTGGGAACTCAGAGGGTGTCTAATTTCTAGCTGGAGTTCTCCCCTCAGGCCTAGGGGTCTGATAATCTATGTGACTTGAGACAACTCTAGAACGTTCTTTCTTCTGTTTTTCCCCACAGGTGGAGACGGTTTCTGTGTCCGTATAGCTCTGTAGAGGATGAAGCCCAACCCCACAGACAAAGCCACAGACCACGGCAAGAAAAGCCACCCTGTCTTCCAGGCCTGCGGAGGGGTCTCAGGCCCAGGGTCTGGTTTAGGGCCAGGGCCAGGGCCTAATGCTATGCCAGGACAGGGGGCAGGGCCTGGTGCTGTTCCAGGACATGACGCAGGACCTGGTGCTGTTCTAGGACGTGGGACAGGGCCTGGTGCTATTCCGGGGCCTGGGTCGGGACCTGGTGATGTTCCGGGACCTGGACCAGGTCTGGGCCCTAAGCCGGGAGCTGGGTCACTACCTGAGCCAGAGGTAGGGCCTGAGCCCAGATGGGAGTCTGGGACTGGACTCAAAGCCGGTGAGTCAATGATAACCCCACCACTAGCGCCGCAGAAGACTCAAGCCAACGCTGCAAAGGCTTCTAGGCAGAAGGTTCTGGTGACTGGAGGAGGAGGCTACCTGGGCTTCACCCTGGGTTCCAGCCTGGCCAGAAGCGGCATTTCCGTCATTCTGCTCGACCTCCACAGACCCCAGTGGGCACTGCCCTCGGGGACCGAGTTCATCCAGGTGCAGGATCAAGGGTCTCTGGGGACCAGTGGTGGTGGTCAGGGACAGTGTCTGATGTCAAACGAGTGGCATAGAGTTTCAGAGCACAGGCTCTGGGGCCAGACTTTGAGCTCCAACTCTAGCTCTGGTACTTCCCAGCTGGGCAGCTGCAGCCTCAGCCTCCATATCTCTGAGCCTCACTGTCCTCATCCTCAGACAGGGGACAGTAATAATACCTGCTCCACAAGGCCTCACAGGGAGATGAAAAGATGATAAAACACCCAGCATAGCCCCTGTGACCTAGAGCGCAAGATAGCTGGGGCCAGTGGTGCTGCCATTGCCCTGGAGAACCATCTAGTAAATCCTGCCCCACCAGCCTTTCCTGACCCTGCAGAGGCCTGGCCTGGCCTGGCCTGGGGGTGGTGAGGGCGGGGAAAGGAGAGGGGAGCAGTTCTGGGGCCAGACAAGGTGCAGAGTTGGTGTCTCTGTTGGCCTTGGACTTGAACCCCCTGCCTCTTTCTTCTCTGTTTCAGGCTGATGTCCGAGATGAAGAAACGCTGTACCGTGCCTTCGAAGGGGTGGACTGTGTCTTCCACATGGCCTCCTATGGGATGTCTGGTGTGGAGAAGGTGAGCCCCTCACATACAATGCCTGCAGTTGGACAGAGTGGCATTCGTGTCCTGGCTGTGCCCACCACACTCCTTCATGCCCATATATCCCACGTCACTCTTCACCTACTCCAGGGAGGGTCTGGGCTACTCCCGTCCTGCATTCTGCGTCCATGAGACCAGATACCAGTTCTGCCACTTTCCAGCTGTGTGGCCTAGAGCAAGGTAACTTTCCAGCAGGTTTTCAGTAACTCTTCTGTGCCAAGCACTGCACCAGGTCCTCCCAAGCGTCTTATTTAATCCTGCCAACCCCCCACACCAGGGGCTCGACCCCAGTGAGATGAGGGAGCTGAGGGCCAGATGGGGGATAGAGCCTCTCCTGGCTGCCCAGGGAGATGGTGGCAGAGCTGGGCACATACACAGCCTGTGGGCCGCTTGGTCCCCCTGCCTCTGAGCTGGATACTCTGCCACCCCCACCCCACCTGACCCTAAGCCCAGCCCTCTGGCTTCAGCAACGAGGCATGACTTTCCCACCTCCATCTTGTCTTTTAGCTGCAAAAAGAGCAGATTGAGTCTATAAATGTCGGAGGCACCAAACTAGTGATCGATGGTAGGTGCTCAGAGCCAAGTGTGACCTGCTGCGTTTCCCCCTCCTCGCCCCTCTCCTGCTGCAGGTCCAGCTCCCGGGGGGAGGGGTGGGGGGACAGAGCTGGGACCTTCCTGCCCACTCCCACAGAGGGTCTGTGGGCAGCACCTCCTTTCCACACTGCAGACCTGCCCAGGGCCCTGCATAGTTGTGACAGCCAGGCCTTGGCCTGTCTGGGAACGCAGGGTGCAGAGTTGGCACTCAGGGTTTAGGGGCTGGGCGGAAGAAAATTTGCCAAAGCACCAAAGTGGAAGACCCATGTCTGGGCTCTCTGGATATGTCCTGCCTTGTTCTGCATCTTGTTTTTCTCTCTGATTCTAGAGTATCTTTCTTCTATGTCCCCACTGAGTGAGAGCTTCTTCTGACTTGTCCCTGGTGAGGTAGCTCAGGGGCCAAAGCCACACTGAGAAAGAATAAGGAGCAAGCCTGGCCCTCGGGGATCCAGGATGCAGGGACTGGTCCCATACCCCAAGTTCAGGACAGGAGGCCCTTCCCTCCCCAGCAGCTCTGATTCTGGGAGGGCCCCAGGGGCCAGGATGTGTGTCGAAGATGGGGTAGAAATCGGTGGGTTCACCCAGAGAGGTCCCTGTGGGCACCTCTCTGCTGACTCCCTGCTCACACTTGGCCCCTGTGTGTGTGTGTCTATCTTTGTGCACGTGTGTGTGTTACCGTGTACACCTGTCGCTGCAGTCTGCATTCGCCGGCGGGTTCCAAGGCTCGTCTACACCAGTACTGTCAACGTCGTCTTCGGTGGGAAGCCCATAGAGCAGGGTGACGAGGACTCTGTGCCATATTTCCCGCTGGACAAGGTACTCGGCTTCCAGGAGAGGTGGGCGGGGTCCACGGGCCTGGGACCCACACAGCCCAAAGGGCAGGGAGGGTGAAGCTGGGGTTGACTTCACAACTTGGGGTGAGAGCCAGGAGGAAGGGGACCCCAAATCTGGATGGCATAAGCCTGCTCCAGTTTCAGCTGGCCATGCCCGCAGGGGCTTTGAAAGCAGACGGACCTGGCCTTGAGCTCCAGCCTGGCCACTTTCTACCTGTGTGACGCTGAGCAAGTCACTGAGTACCCTGAGCCTCTGTTTCTTCACTGGGGCATGATATCGCTATTGCCATGGGGCTGTGGAGAGCAGGAGATGAGACAATGTATGTGAAAATGCTATACGAGCACTAAAAGGTGACATATTAGTCATTCAGCCAGCGCACGTCCAGCCTTGGCGTCGCAGGGCAGGCTGTTTGGGGCTGGCGGGAGCATCATTCACTCAAGTTGCCCTGGGCCTTGCTGCTCTCTGAGCCCAGTGCTCCTGTGGCTCTGGGAGGAGACACACTCTCCTCCCACCCAGAGGGAGAGGAGGGGCAGCAGGGTGGGCCCAGGGCTTGGCCACATCCCAGTGGGGGTCCCCAGAGTCTGGCCCCTGGGGGGGTCTGAGGGCAGGTGCAGTCTTGGGGCCAGGCTGGGTGGGCGTTGCCAGCAGCATCGCTGACCCCTGTCTGGTGGCTCTGTTCTCCCTGTCCTCTGGCAGCACATGGACCACTACTCCCGAACCAAAGCCATTGCCGACCAGTTGACCCTCATGGCCAATGGGACGCCTCTCCCAGGTGAGTATTATGGGCTCTGCTCACCCCAAATGCACCTGCCACTGCTGCCACCCCTGAGGTATGTGTGTGATTCCAGCGTTTAGTTGACGTGTGTCTGACACCCACCTTCCTTCCGGAGGACCGGTCCCAGGGCTGTGGCCATTGATCATTCAACAGATTCTGAGCACCTGTCACGTGCCAGCACCCTGCCAGGGACACAGCCTGGAAAAAGTCAGGCCCAGTGTCTGCCCTCACATCACCCACAGTCTGGCAGGGAAGAGACTTGGGTTAACCTAAGTCTAGAGGTCTTTTCTGCTGCACAGAAGCGAATCCAGGTTTAGGGGTCCTCTCCAGATAGAAGAGTACAAAGTACAAAGTTAGGAATGTGGATGAGGTGCGGTGGTTTGGAAGGGCCGTGCAAGACCCAGAGGGGTCCTAAAACTTGACCTTCAATCACTTCCCAGAAAAATCTGCCTTGGCTGTCTTGTTACAATAAGGCAATATATTGCCTCTTCTTGTTATAGAGAAGTAATAATAGAATAGAATAGGAATAGTCCATATTTACTGAGTGCCTACTACATGCCAGGCCCTATTTTGCATGCTAATTTTATGTGCAAAAGTCTCATGAACTCTTCACAACATCTCTATTAGGTGAGAAGCTTAGGCATCCCTTGTTCTTCAAACTCAGGAGCCAAATCTATTTAGATACATTCCTTGCTATCCAAATTATTGCTAGTTGGTTTTGGAAATTCAGAAACTAAGAATCAGATAACTCGGTTTCCCTTCATTATCAAAACCATCTAAACTCGGGAGCCAAGTGGATTTGGGAAGTGAAGGATGCTTAACATTAGAATCCCTGATTTACAGGTGAGAAAACTGAGACTGATGACCTGACTTAGCTCAAGGTCACACAGCTGTTCGCTAGCAGAGGGAAGATTTGAACCCTAGGGGTGTCTAACACCAGAGGCTGGGGTCTAACCACTACCCAACGCTGCAGCCACAGCTGAGAGGGTCCCTGAAAGTGGGCTCTTTTCCCTAAAATCTCCCCCATCCCCATCAACCTGGGCCAGTCAGACCTGGCCCCCTGATCCCAGCGGGAACATCCAGCTGTGTTTTCCCAGGGGGTTGAGCCCGTGCAGTTGAATTCTCTTCCCTACCTGGGGCCTTCCCTGGCCGGCCCTGCAGCCTGCATGCCAGACACCTAATCCTCTGGCCAAGAATTATTTATGTGAGCACCCCCACTTTCCACAGTCAGAAGAGTCACGGATACCCTGGGCCTGGCCCTTCCGTGAAGTGGCTGCCGAGTGCCCCGCCTGCCAACATCAGCTGCAACCCGACCGCCCCTCACTGTGCCCAGGTGACCCAGAGTTTAAAATTAGCTGCAGGCTCTGTACAGAAAAGCTCGCCAGATACTTGCCTTTCAGGAGTCCAGCCACGGTCACCCTAGGTGATTTCCACTCCCTACTACCCCAGCTGCTCCCTGAGACTGTCTTAACTCGGCATGGAGGTTCCTGGGCCCAGGAGCCAAGGCCCAAGGCCTGTAGATCCCAGCTCAGTGTCAACGCAGTTGTGTCCTCCTGTCTCTGGGAGTGCCAATGTCCTGTGGCTGCTGGGACAAATTACCACAAACTTGATGGTTTGAAACAATGGAAATTTCTTCTCTCACCATCCTGGAGGCTGCAAGTCTGAAAGCAGGGTGTCATTTGGGCCTCACTGCCTCGGCAGGCTCCAGTGAAGAGAACTTCCTTGTCTCTTTCTGCTTCTGGTGGCCCCAGGCATTCCTTGGTTTGTGGCTGCGTTACTCCAAGCCCTGCCTCTGTCTTCATATGGCCTTCTCCTCTGTTTCTTCTCTGTGAGTCTCTTAGAAGGACCATTGTCATTGGCCTAGGGCCCACCTGGATAATCCAGCGTGACCTCATCTTGAGATCCTTGACTTAATTACATCTGTGAAGACCTTGTATTCAAACAAGGTCATGTTCACAGGTCTGGGACGTGGACAGACCTTTGGCGGGGGTCACCGTTGAACCCAATGCACTAGGCCCCATTGCGAAGTGAGGGGTGGAGGTTGCAGCAGTCAGGGTGTTTGGTTATGACCCACACCGGCCCTGGCTCGTTTATGGGGAAGAGGGAACTTATATTGGAAGGATATAGGATAGCTTCTGGAAAATTGATTTCTAGAAAAATGACCATCAGGGCTTGGAAAGGAGAATGTCAGGGACCTGGGTGGCAGGAGCCAGTGACCAGTCTCCTCAAGGTGAACCCACTCCTAGGATCCTATGTCCTGGTGTCAGT